TTGATGATGAAGAAGAATGATCGGTGATGAAGGTGGAGGATGATGAAGATCGGAGATGATGGGTAAAAATGGTGATTAGAGGATGATGGAAGAAAAAGAGGAGGAAGGTTAAATTTGTAATTTTATCCTTTGATTTATACAGGAAAACTTTTATTCTATAATATGTGCACTCACCGGTGTTGAACCGGTGGGTGTACATATCTTTATCCTTGTAGATATCATTTATTTTGGCCCATTACACCTCACAGTTTTCCGAAAAGGCCAATGTTGCTGAAAATTGTTAGTTCTTATAAGACACTCCAAGAGGGCTTTCTTACTGATGTGGGACTCTAATGGTGCTTGATATTCTCATCAAGGGACTTTTGATTGGGAAGGGTTATTGCATTCTCCTCCAATAACGGTGCTTGATATTCTTATGAAGCCTATTTGATCACAAATTGGCCTAGTCTTATGCGTCGTACTTTGTCAACGTAATATTTGTCTAAACTCAAGCTTCACTAAGGTTTATCATAATATCATTCAAAGGAATACACGTAACTACTCTAATACCATTTTATAAAAACTCACAAATCATCATGAATATTATCTGTTTTAACTCATTAAACCTTATGATTTTCAAAAATACATCCACTTTGATTATCGCTCGTGGTCTAGTTTTATCGATGAAAAATTTATTATATTGGAATAAGTGGTTATATTTTCAATATGACCAAATATGTTGACTGGAAACTATTTCCCGATTAAAAACACAGGAAGATTGGCTTCTACGATGCATAATTGACTATATTCAAATATAACCAGTTATATCCAAAAATCTGCACTTTTTCTCTTTTTCAACCATTATAATCTAGCATCGTATTTTTTGTTTGGAAATCAAATCTTCTAAGGCAAAGGGAGCTGTTTTTGTTGGATGGCTTAACAGACCTTAAGGGTTAAGTGCATATTTTTAAACCACATCAGGGTTCAAGTGCACTTTTTTGTGATTTGGTTTGTGGGATTACATGAACCTACCCCAAGTCACAATGTAGGCAATATTGAGTGATAGTGGGAAAATTCCACTTTGGAAAAATAAGGAAAAAAATTGTTATATATTGATGTCTACAGAGAGTCAAATGTAACGATGTAAAGAAATTTGCGTAAATAAGGCAAAATCAAAACAATTTTTGCTTCTTTATAAGAAATGTTATTTTTAAGACATAATATCTACTATATTCAACTTTAATGCTTAAATCGGTATACAATGTTTAAGAAGTAAAAATTTGAATACAAAAGAAAAGGAAGAAAGAAAGGAGAAAGAATGTTCTCATAACCATTTATTCTTTGTGTAAAGTTTATTTATTTATAGCCTTTATAGCCCCCAACAGGTGCCTCTTGCACCGTCCAGGAGAAACACAATTCTTTAAAGAATTGCAACACTCTCTTCTTTCCTTCTTTTTTTGAATTTTTGTTCCAAACAGTGCCTTTTTAACTCATACACTCATTTCTATTTGTAGCCGTTTCTATATATTATTGCAATATAATATATATATAGTATATGTATATTATTATTAAAAATTATTAATATATGCCCAACGATCCCTCATTTATTTTCTATAATAATAATAATATTATTGTTACGTGTATTGGCAATGTATAATGCATTTTCAAAAGGTAACTTAAATTTGAATTTTCGAATAAATATGAAATATTAAAAAATTATATTCATATTATATATGAGTTTAAACTTCCACCATGATAAGTATTTATAAAAAGTCATTTACTAATCTTATTCTAACAAGCGCTCTAGGATTAACCATTGTAACCCATACAAGGTGGACTCTAACCTTCTTACTTGCATAAGAAGATTCATAAAAAATGTTCACAATTTTTATTCTACTCTAATAAGCTTTGTGTCTATTAAGAACATAATATCCAACCTACACTTCTTTATTTAATTCATTACCCCCACTATTCCTTAAAGAAGAGCTGCATTTGAAATATAACACCTAATAAACACATCTATTTAATTCCGTAAGCTCTTCAATAAAGTACAACCTCATGGTAAGGATCCCTCATTACTGTGTCAAGATAGATTGGTAATTACTATTTTACTCTGGTGATTAACTTGCCTGTCATTCTATCATGCTGTTTACTTGTTATGTGGAATGACACCAAACAAGTCTTTTATGTAAACAATAAAAGTAAAAGGTGTAAATACTAAATTTAATCCCAACCTTTAACATAATATTAGGTATTGTTGCAACCTTTCATTTAGATTAGAAATGGTCCTAATCTTTTCAAAATATCAAGCCTAATATTACCTTTATTTGTTTCCATTATGTCCCTAATGAAATTCTTTGTTGAAATTTTGTGGAATCCATGACAATTCTTAAAATAAGAAAAAGGTTAATCAAAGGTTGTAGTTATGGTCATTATTAAATTTATTAAAGTTAATAAAATTTATTAAATTTTTATCTTAATTTAATTATTAAAAACAATTAATAACTAATAAAATAGTTAATATTTATTATTTGAAAAATTAAAATTAATTTATAAATAAATTATTTTAAATATTATAATCAACTATGTAAAAAAAATTTATAAATTATTAAAATTACAATTAAAATTAACATTTTAATAAAATTTTTAGTAATAATAACCTCAGCTCGAGTGAAATCTTTAATCTAGGAGTTTTTATAAAATTTTTTGGTCAGTACAAAATCTTTATTTCAAAATTTTTTTTTTTTTCTAATTGACACAGCCCGAATTAGTCCTAAAAGTCTATAAATTATTACAGTAAGTTAGACTTTAGAATTTCGAGTTGACGAAAAGATTTTTTTAAGAAAAAAACCAAACAAAAAGACAAGGGTTTGGGTAAGAGTTAAGTACCATACAAACTCTTGTAGATCCAGCCACATAATTACAGCATTTGAAGTCAAAATTTTACAAAAAATAATAAAAAAAAATTTGCAGCTAGTTCCACGCCTCCCTTGGTAATTATTGTTAATTACCGAATCCCACAATGCCATGACAACCTTGCAACAAAACCCAATACTAACGTTTTTGGCGAAGTTCTTTTCTTCTTCCTACAGTCTTCAATCCACTTTGCATATCAGTTTCACATTCTTCATCACAATCGTTCTCACTTCGCATTTATAATTGATGCACGGAGTTTCCTTCTTGCTTCTCAGGTTTTCTGCACTATTGGGGTTCAGTTATGGAGGTATGTGTAGGTGTTTCAGATCTGATTTTCATGAGAATCTATTAATTCAGATGTTTATTTAGCTCGATTTGGGATTGATCTCGTGAACCAACTGGGTATTTCTCTTTGGGTTCTGGGTGTTCATTGAAATGGAGGTCGGTAGTGTTAATTCTCCTAGAAATAGGTTGGATCACTCGAAGGAGGGATCTGAGAATACCCATATAGAAAAAGAAATTTTTGAGCTGGAATCATCTCAAAATGTTGGTGGGCATAATTACCAATTCCATTCAATGAATGCATTGGAGATCTTGAGAGAAACAGTTAGGATTCTGCGGTACAATTCATCAGGATTTATGATCATTGCTGCTTTGTTTATTTGTCCGGTATCTGCGGTTCTCATGTCGAATCTGTTAGTTAATCAATATGTTGTGAAGAAATTCACTGTTAGGCTTTTGTTAGTTGCAAAGACTAGTGGGCTCCCATTGAAGCCTTTTATCAAACAGTCGTGCCAAAGGTTTGCTGAGACAGCTGTTTCCTCTGCAATGTGTTTCCCTTTGTTTATCACATTGTCATTGTTATCAAAAGCTGCTGTGATTTACTGTGTAGACTCTACTTATTCAAGGAAAACTGCTGATGTTTTTAAGTTCTTTGTGATTATTCACAAAATATGGAGACGGCTTGTTTTGACATATGTGTGGATGTGCATGGTAATTGTTGGTTGTGTAACAACCTTTTTTGTTTTTCTTGTTGCTGTTTGTAGTACACTTTCTGTGATTGGGTTTTCGCCTGATTTAGTTGTCTATGCAGCAATTCTTTTGGGTTTAGTTTTCTCGGTTGTTTTTGCGAATGCTACTGTTGTATGCAATATTGGCATTGTAATATCTGTCTTGGAGGATGTTTCGGGACCACAGGCATTGCTTCGCTCTGGTGTTCTTATCAAGGGGCAGACTCAAGTAGGTCTTTTGATATTTCTTGGTTCTACAATTGGGATGGCATTTGTGGAAGGGTTGTTTGAACATAGGGTGAAGACGCTGAGTTATGGAGATGGGTCTTCTAGGATTTGGGAAGGGCCGCTTTTGGTGATAATGTATTCTTTTGTGGTGCTTATTGATTCCATGATGAGCACAGTCTTTTATTTCAGTTGCAGATCATATAGCATGCAAGCTGCGGATGGTCAATGTCAATCAATTTTGGAAACCATGACTACTTCTGAATCAATGGGTATCCAATGATGTCAGTTAGTGCGCTGTTTAGTTATTAGCAATACTATTTGAGTTCAGAAGGCAATACAGAAACTACCATTTATTAAATTCTGCTTTGGCTTCCAGTTAGCATTCATGCAGTGCTAATGAGAAACAATTTCTTGGTGTCTGAATCTATCAACAAGGTTCTGTTGCTGTGACTTTCTGAGATGACCCAATTCTTCTGAAGATACTCTGCCAAGGCGCATTACATTGTTTGCCAAAAGTAATCTATTGAAGAAGCATGAAATAATAGGTATGCCGAGCTCCATCATAGATCTATGAGTGTATCACCACCATTTAAAGGTGATCCATTGTTTGATTCAATTCAAATATTACCAACTTAATGGTTGAAGCATTCTATGTTCCATTGTCTCTTTGTACTTAATATTCCTGCTTAATAATGCATTCCCAGCGTAAGAGGTTGGGGTATTGGTTGATCATTGATCTTAGGAATGTTCTTGTGAATGAAGCATTGAGTTAAGGGCATATTTCTTTAAAATTAAAAAAACATTAAATTTTTTCCTTTTATTGGAATTACTTTTCACAACAAAAGAAGCAAATAGATTAGGAACGATGTTCATTAATTTACTTTTTTCCATTAAGCCTTTAATTTTTATATTTTTTGTCATTTGTTGAATTAATGAGTTCCTTATTGGTAGATTGTAAAATAGCATTTGCCTTCCTATACCTTTTGCTCTCAATTTGAAAACAAGAAAGAGATTGAATTCATTCACTCTCCTATTATATATTCTTCACAATTTGGATTTTTTTTTTTTGCCATTTCTCATGTATCTTGTATGTAAGTTATGTTTCTATGTATGCTTACCCTGCATGTGTATGTTTTTAATATCTGCACTACTGAATTTTTAGAGGTATCATTGCTATTTAGATGGGTGTAGTTTCCCTACTTTAGTAGGATGCCTTAAAACCATGTACTTTAATGCCGTGTTTTGAAACCTAGACCAAACCGGTCCGTTTGATCAATTACATCAAAGATTCAAAATTAGTTTTAAAAATAGTTTGAGCTATGATACTGACCAGGTAGTAATTATAACCTGGTCAAACTTGCCTAAACCTGGTTAAATTTGATAAAATTCAGTTGACTTGAACCGGTTCATTTTCCTTTATTATTATTTTTTTAGTCTTATGCTTTATTCATTTTTTAATTTTTTATATTTATTTATTTTATAGATTATATAATTATTAAAATTTAAAATCTATTTAAAGTTAAATTACTACTAATGAAGTGGAAAAATTTAAATTAATGGGTTTTTTTAACTTGTATTCTTAGAGTACAGGTTAAGATATTTGAAAGAATAAAATATAATATTTAATTTATTAATTGTTTAATTAAATTTATTTACATGACAATAACACTAAGATTAATGTCTATTTTTATGTTTTTCTATATATATTTATTATAAAAAAATATTATTAACCTCTGTTTTTAGGGCATAAATTAAAAAAAATCTTAAATTAATTTAAATGTAATTTGAGATAATTTTAAAAAATAAAATTAATTTAAAATTAGATTATTATTTCAAATTAGAGAATAAAATTAATTTGAAATCAAATTAATTCGAGATAATTTTAAAAAATAAAATTAATTTAAAATTAGATTATTATTTCAAATTAGAGAATAAAATTAATTTGAAATCAAATT